AAACCATATGAGCATTTTGAAACTTCACCAGTATTTCTTTCCCTTGCTTTGAAAGAAATCAATGAAACAAAGAGAAGATGAACCCTCATTGTTATGATCATCCTTCTACTTTTACAGGAGAGATTCTCCAGGCAAAGGTTGCATTAGATAGGTAGAAAGATAGGTTTCTTGTACATTTCTAAGAGAAAAAGATAAAAAAATTACTTATATCTCATCTCACTCCCTTTACTTTTCAATAAAAAAGCAGTCCTGGAGTGCACATGTTTTAGCAAAACCTTATACCACGCTACATGCTATAGATAAAAATGCGTGTGCATTTCAGTAGTGTAAACTGTTCACTAGGTCTGCATCCTGCATGTTTCACAGAGGCTTGAAAGGTACTTAAGGAAATCCTCTGAAGGACTAAATAGGGCAGTTTCATGAACAGTGTGCTAACAGAAACAATAAAGTGGCATGCCCTTGAGACTGGAGTTCCTTCAGACTAGTTAAATACCTGTCCTTCACTAGTCCCCATTTCCCAGTCAAACTGTTCATCTACATTATTACCCATTCAGAAAGATGTGCTTAATAGCAAACACTCATCTGTAAAAGGTTTCATTTATTAGTTTTATTTTCAAAGTGCAGACCAAAGTCTTTTATTGCAGCAACACTGGTTGTAAAAGAACAGCTGCAGTGCACACTTTTTGGAAGACCCGAAGCCACCTGTACATTAGAAGGACGTTATCAGCGAGAAGAATATAGGACTGGCCCACTGCTTTCTCATGGAATACTTACAGCACAAAACTGAATATTATATCAAATTCTAATGCCAACCCATCGGCATTTCTAACAAACAGAAGTCATGTGGAAGAAATAGAGCTGAACATATGCATACACACAGTGACCAAAATGGTCACTCTTGATTTCACCTCCAGTGCTAGGTATGGAAGCCTGTTGCTTTTCTGGCCATTTTACTAACCTTCCTCTGTGGTACGAGCAGACTTTGATTCACTGTCCATTCCTTGGAATTCATTGAAATAAGGGCGAACTTTAATTTCATAAGTGACCCCTTTTTTCAAGCTGACGAGGACAGCACTGCGCTCGGTTGGGACTTTGACCTCCAAATTCTGCCATACAGCTGGAGAAGGTAGGCCAGACGTTTGGCGATACATTACTCGGTAGCCCTGAATAAACTGGGATTGGCGGTCAACCTAGAAATACCATTAAATAATACGTCAATAAACATATTAAAGTAATGAAACTGTATAAAAAGAAAACAAAACATTTGCCTAGGATACTTTTGTCCTCATGAAAAAGAGAAAATTAACAGTTGTTTAAGATGCTGAATTTAAAAATCAAACTGCCTTCTTCTAAGTCACTGTTGATTAATTGTCTATAAAGAACACTTTTTCTCACATTACTTGTTATAGAACATTTCTTTCTATTTTACTTTCTCCAGCTCTATATACCGTGACAAATATCACCTTAAATCATAAAACAAGGCCCCACCCCTGCAACAAATCATGAAAAAAGAACTTTGGCATAATGCTTACTGCATGTAAACTTATTAAGCACATCTTGGCTACTGATGTGCTGAAATACGAGAAGAAAAGAAAAACAAATTCATTTCAGAAAAGGACAAGTCTTTGAAGATACCCTACATGCTTTCAGTTAGTCCATTACTTGGCTCACAGCTCATCTTTTCATGAGATGCTCAGGAAAGTGAAATAAACATAAGACAGATGCAGAGAAAACAACTTCCAAGGACATGTGCTGTTTCTTGAGTTCACAGTCTAAGCAGTCTCTTTGCATCCTGGGCTTGTGATGCTCTCAGGCCATCAGATGGAGACGGACTGTTGTTTTTGGTTTATATTTTATATGTTGCTAGGCAAGCACAATTCAAGATTGGACCATACATAGAAGTTTAACAATTCTAACCTATCATAGCTACAAATAGGATTTTTATACGAAGGAAAAACTTAAAATGTGTTTTATCTTGGAGAAATTGCATGCATTTTTTCACCTGGGGAAAAAAAAAGGCACAAAACAATGATTCAAGCTATTATGATGTTTGCATGAATTTTGCCTGAAAAAACAGTCAAAACAATTTGATGGATAAAACCAAACCAAACCCAGCTGCTTCTGTAGCCATCAAATAAAGAGCCAAAGAAAGTGCAGCACAAATACCAAGACTATACACGTAGATGTTTGGTAAATCTCTGGGTTATAACTAAGATTCGACAAGTAGGATTTCTTTTCTGTTCTTGACAATTTGCTAGCTCAAAGATATTTCAGAATTAGAGATACATTTGTTTGACTTCTCTTAAGAATAAATGAATTTAAGGCTGAAATCACAAACCAGGTTCTATTACACTTCTATAATCTTGTTACGGTTTATTGAGGCATTCAGAGGGGACACAGATTCTTAGACATTAAAAAGCAGGGCAAGCAAGAAGAAAGCTTTATTTATGAGAGCAACGCAGAAATGTCTTTCATCAAAACTGTCACTGTTAAAAATCTTGCAACATATGTTACAACAACATTAAGCGTGCATTTTATAAACTTCTCTACATTCACTTTAAGTGAATTTATGCACTGAAAGAGGGATATAACTCACAATAATAGCTTGTTAATACCGAAAGAATCAAGCTGTGTTTTTAAGAAGAACATTAAGCAGCTGTTTCCAGATGAAGGGAGTCTGTAAATCAGAGTAAATTGTTTTTATCCATGTTTGACTTTCATTAACTAAATGTTTTACGGACATAAAGACTTTATGAACCTCATGTTTACTACAAAATTCAGCAAGAATAACGCTTTCATGCACTTTGTAATACAGATTCTCAACCTAAATTACAATATAAGGCTATGATGTTTAATAATCAAACACTGAGTTTGATTCCTGCCTAACTTCTGAGTTAGAAGCTACACTGAAATACAGCACAACTTTGTTAGAACTTTCCATTTTGTCTTTGCTGTGCTTTTAAGCTCTACTGATTGCTGCCTAGTGGAGACCATCTGAAAATTCAGAAATGACTAGGCTGAACAGTAACAGTGTGTTGCTACAAAACAGTATGGAAACTGTTTTGTACGGCATGGTACAAACACAAATGCACCCACCAACTAATTGAGAAGAACTGGACCCCTACAGTATACTAATTTTGAGTCCATCACACTTTCGTATTTACTTACATATAGGCAATATACAAATTATTCATATACCTCTTTTCCTCCTAGACTTCTAAGTTCCTAACCTAAAAGACTAAACAATACAAGGAATATGAAAACAGAACGCAGTAGTACAACAAGGTTGTCGTGTATATGGGTGCTATAAAGTGGCTTGATTTGGGGCTCACACAAGTTCCACAGAGCTTTCAATTAGAGGCTTGATTACAACAGGGCTGAGTGATCTGCCTGATTTTCAGATTACTGACAGTGATTCCACTGTTCAGGGTCTGCGAGGGTACTTACGAAAGAAAATACTATGCATTTTTCATGTTTTCTATAAACATCCGGTTGCATTCAGTATCAAGGAGAGGATATGAAGCTATCTCTCAGGCCCACTTAAAGCTAGTCTGAATGAACAGGGCCTTTCATATGGTCAAAACGTTGGGAAACTATTCAGAGGGCACTTCACTTATTGAGAAAAGTGGCTTTTTTGGTTTTGTTTGGAGTTTTCCGATTAGTAAAAAAATACTCTTGGATAATTACGTGGCTTAACCAGAAATATTTGTGAGGTATAGGACAGGTATATTTCACATATACATACACGCACACACATATGTGTGTACATGTATATGTATGTACACACATACACATACATATGTGTACATGTCTATCTATACATGCACACCCGGCCTTACATATAATACAAAGCCTGTGACTTCATCGTTTCCTCCATTTGTTATGTGGTAATCATGCCTCACGCCAACAGCAGGCCACTAAAAATATGCTTTAGCATTAAAAAACTGCATTCAGCTGTGCTAAGCATCAAACAACTCTATAGGTTTGGTACATGTTCACACATAGGCAGAGTTGCAGAAACATGCACCGTGATTTGATGAAAGAATGTAATCACTTCTAGGTATTCTCCGTTCTCTTTTTTTGTAAATGGTTGCCACTTCCTCATACAAAGAACTTAGCATTATTACAGAGGTTGCAGGAACTCTCTGCGCTGAATACTGGGATCAGAGAATATTTCTAGTCTTCCTGTGACACTCTTAAATACTCTTGAATTTGTACAAGCAGCAGTGACATCCACCGAAAATGCTGTAACCGTTGCTGATCTAAAGATACACTTTCTTCCTCAAAAGACAGATGGCAGAAAATGCAGATGCTCCTTTACAAGACAGAAGAGAGCAATTACTGGGTAGGTTCTGCTCAGCACTGACCTAATGCTTTAAGGCGACCTACAAGCATAATTGGTCCTGCGTGCTCCTCGTCACCCTCTTTTATGATGAATACGTAGTGCGGGAGGTATCTACAAAACTGACGACAGCTCTCCATTTCTGCAGAACAGGAAACTAATTTTCCCTGCATGTTCAAATCTGCACATACCGCAGCTGAACACGAGGCAGGTTCACAGGCTGTTAGATCATTCAGTTAGGCTATTAGGTTGTTAAAAAGATGGCAAGAAACTCATAATGCTGCTTATGCTGCAAATATAAGCTCCTTTCAGGCAAACCTGCTAATCTGCACCTTAAAGACATTTTGCAATATGCTCTGTAGTATGTAAGTTTCTACCCCAAAATATCCTGAGAAATACTCTGCTCCCACATCAATACCCACAGCAATTCTTCATCTGGGCAGAATACCTTGCACACTGTGCTGAACTCACTAGTACAGACTCACAGTAATCTCTGGAAACTCAAACAGCACTAGCATTTATCTATCCTACAGGAACAAGACAAAAGGTGACGATACACTGGAAGACTGTCTAAAGGACTTGGCCCTTGAAGCTTCCAGTGAAGTACATCCATTTAAAATCAACGTCAAATTAAAAGACAGAGGTAAATAAATTATCCTTCTGCCAGTAGCCTCCTAGAAGGCAGTCAGGATTTCAAAGCAGCAATTCTTTTGCCATATTGAGGAACTGATTTTTATTCCTGCTTGTGCCACAGGGCTTTTTCATAATGCTAGGAAACTTTTCACATTTGGCCACTAATGAAACTCTCAGTTTAATGCCCAGTGAGTCTAGAAGTGCTGAACTATAGTTAAGGTCAGCTTAAAAAGTGCTTGGAGTACATCATATGCTGTTGCAATGCAAAATGTTTTGATAAAAGTAAAAATAAATCAGGCCCAAGGTTTAAAATTAGCCATTTGATAACAGTGGGCATATCTGGTTCCATAAGTCTCATCATCAATAAATATCTCTGCACCTCACCTCTCTATGTGTAAAGTAAGGATAATGACACAGTTTTATCACTGTAATTTTAAATTCTGTATTATTTGTGAAGCACCCAAATGTTATGGTTGAGAGCATGACAGATAAGCAAGCATGTGAGACAAACTAATAATTTTTATTCAATGCAAGGTTTCAGTGGTATGAATTTAATAAGACCTGGCACCACACAGTGAATAAAGAAGATAAAAAGAAATGTTGAATAGCTCCATTAAGAAGAGATCCTGTATGTGACCAGATAATTACAGCTACACTTTAATACTTATGCACAAGAGGAATAAATTTAAGTGACAGTGAAAACCTAACTTCTGACATTCCTCTTCTTTTTTTTAACACTGACTTTGTAAGCATGACCTTCTTTTAAAACGGACAAAATATGTGTGTATATGTATGTATATATTTTAAAATTGCAACACAGTAGCAGAGAACTATTTCTGAAATTTTGAACTCAATTTTGAAAAAAAAGAGAAAGTAAAACCAAAACAATCTCAGAAAGAAGGGAGAAATTGGTGTTAATTTGCTGGGAGTCAGGATGCCAGAAACTCAATAATCAAGGACGTTCCTTGGCATTCACTCGTTGAATTGCAGAAAGTCAACACAGAGTCTTACGACTCTTATGGCTCTTCTGTCTTTTTGTATGATAGCTACACTATCTACTGATTTTACATTAATAGTGTGGACATTATTCTCTGGATAGGGTAGCTTTTTTTCTTAGAGACTATGGTTAATTAATTGGTTTTCCTCTGGTTGCTAGAATGTTTCTAATTAGCTGTTCCAGAGATCTTTTTTTGTGTCTTTCTTCCCTTGGGCAATTCTGAAACGTCTCTACAGAGGCCTGTATGCTTGTCAGGTGGCATAGGGTCACTGCTTTGAGGGATCTTCTTGATAAGCTGATATCCATAGCATCCCTAACAATTTACCTTTACCTTACCATGTTTTCTTCATTCATTACTTGTTCAATAGGGGCACCAAGAGACTCTTTTAGATAGATAGATAGATAGATAGATAGATAGATAGATAGAGATGGGTATGGGTAGAAAGAAACACACCCACACCCCCCCATATATGTATCTATACACACACACAAAAATATATTTATACATATTTCATTATAATATAATGACATTGATTACATTGCATAAAACTGAATTCTGTTTATACTGGGGCTTCCTTTTGCTAAAGCAAGGGCAAGCCTATGAAAATGTATTTCTGATAGCTGTCACACCTAAGAAAGGACTTGAAGGAGCACCACACAGATGTGATCCAGGTTTACGATTACTGGCTGCAAACATCCAAAGTTTCTAAACTATTGACCCATCTGCTTGGGCAAATGTCTGCTTGGGCAAAAGGGTTTGCTACAAAGGTTAGTCAGCCTCTCCTGGAGTTAGGTAGCTGAAACAGACAGCATTTTTAGAAAGGCAAGCTGTGTATTGACATCATCAATGGCAAAATGCAATGACACATTTTCTAAAAAATCTTCTAAGAAAGACAAATTTGTGGGTTTCTCTATTTATTCTGGTCTGCTCCCTGACCATTGAAATCTGCCAGAACAAGGATGGTGCAAAAGCTCCCGTAAATATGGCTGAGTTGTGCAAAAACAACAGTAATCCTTATAATACACAATCTATCACCACACTTCTTATCTCCTGCTGTGTAATGCCCTGTACACATTAACCTTTTAACAATATTACGTGTACAAGAAAAACCCTGAGTATTGTGAAAACCCCTTCAGCAGAATTCATCCTATACAACTGTTCCAGTGACGTGCAGCGCAGTAGTATTTCTCTCACTCTTCCACCTGTGGCTCTCCTTCCTCTGGGGCAGATGCCCCAAGAGCAAAGCACTCCTTTCTGGTGTGCAGCGCCCTAGGAACTCTCTCTCTCCTCCTACAGTTACAAATCCTTTCCTTTTTGAGCCTCAGGAAGGGAAACATAGCATTTTGAAAGCTAACTGCTATATCAGAAATTCTACCCAGTAGTTTGACCTCTCAAATAGAAATGTTGTTAAGTACTGCCAAAAAGATTCTGGTCTTCTATAATGAAAGGATATCCACTGATTGTGAGTAAGGCTTATGCTAGAAAACCAGATGCTACATAGTGGATCAGGCATCAGCACCATGTGCTTCTGACTTCACTACAAGTGCCCTGTAGGAAAGCTATTTTTGCATTTTAGGGTCACCAAATAATAGGGTATTGTCAGAGGTCCCTATGCCTTGAAGTGGAAAGTGCTTTTTCATACAGCAATTTCATGTTGATATTTAACTTGGATTATTTTTTGACACTCACAGTAATGAGTCCAGAGATCAATTATCCTTTAGATTATGGTGTTAAGCATATTCATTTTCATAATATTTTTCTAGTCAGACAGCTAGCTTGCTTTGAGCTGAACACTGAAGACTTTGAACCTGCCTGACTTGAAAGAGAAAATAAAGACCATTTCATTACCTCATATATATGCCTGTATAAAGTTTGAAGTCAAGACTGGAGCTTTTCAGGGTAGTAAAAAACTGAAGGGATAAATAGGCAAAATTAAAGTACTATTAAGGTAATAATAACAGCAGCCTTACCGTCCAGGTGACTTGAACCGTCGTGGGTGTCAGCACAACAGGATTATGCAGTCGTACAATGACGTCTCCCAGTTCTTTCTGGACTTGCCTGTGATCCACACCTTGTGCTGGTGGGCTGATATCTGCCAGGCCAGGCACACACATGAAAGCATTATTTTAATGAGAAGAGTTATATATGGCATCAATACAAATTACTGAATACCTTAACGACCTGATTTAAGCACCCTTTATAGTACTGTTTTTAAAACAATACAGTACTAAGCTTTAAATATGAACTCCAAAGCATGTCAAGTAATGCAAGCAAACCATTCATGTTTAGCTGCTTAGGAAATAATGAAATATAAAGAAGTTCAAATGAGTATTCAGACTCGATGGCAAAGTTTTCTCAGATCTGGTAAGTGATGAGAGAGATATAATATTCACCAGTTCCAAAACACTCAGATAATAATAATGTTACTCAGATGTCTGGAACCAAATTGGTTAGTATAACTGAAGAAAATGAGCAGGTTGGTTTTTTATTTTCTTAGAGCATACATGACATTAAGTCATTATATGTTTCTAAACTTTCACTGTTTCCTCTCCCCACATACCATGCACATAAGAAACCAAACACTAAAAATAACATTTTCTTCTGCAAACAAATTTTCCCTTTACAGATACAGATAATGAAATCTAGTGCAAATATGAAAAAAGAATTAATTTATGAAGCCAAACTGATTCTGATTTAATAAAATGCCAACAAAAGCACTTTACTACAAAATTTTTCCCTTCAAGATTATGTCAAAGATTCCTTCAAAGTGTGTGGGGAAATTATTTCTTCTAGTCAAACTCTGAGGTAATTTGATCACTTAGTATACATCTATGGAAAACTGTGACTCCGTCTCCAGCACCATATGTGGCCCTACTACCTAGTCCTTAGGGACCACATTTGGGTTATGCCATTGTGTTAAACTGAATGAAGCTGTATTATCTTTGCTAAATTGGAACTGCAAATACAAAATATGTGTCAGAAAATGGAGAAGGAGATGTGCAATGTGTCTTTTTAGTGATAGCTCCTGGAAATCATAATTTTCTGTCACATTGCGTCGAAAGGAGAATGTTGGGCTACAGCTATCACCTAGCTAATATATCACCATAACATGTCCCTTCCCTCCAACTTAGACAGAAATGAAAGTACTTTCTAGGAGCCAGTGAAGTCTGGAACCCTTCAATGGATCCTTCAAGGATCTTACAACACTGTTCTTGGTCAACAGTTACAGTTGCCCTTACTATGTCAACTGTCTACGTGGATTGCGTAATGCCTGTTAGAAATACACATACTGATTATTTCTGCTGGAATTTGCTTGTAATTTTTCCAGAAGAGAGGATTTGGAACACAAGCACAGATTATATTCAAAAAGGCTCGACACATTATGGTCATGCCTGTCTAGGCATTTGTGAATTCTGCTTGGTTTTCCCATGGGATTCACTAGCCAAAGACACTTTCCCTCTTTTTGGATCAACATCATGTCCTTGTGAAGAAGATACATATATAAAAGGGTTTTTTCCCCCTCTGATGGTCTTAGATAAGGGAGTATGCACCATGTGATTTCTTTTTATCTTCTAAATATTATTAAGAAGAAATAATAGTGCTTTTAAAAATGAAACATTTAAATATAACAACTGAGTTTAAATCACATGCCTCCAGATTTTGAAAGAAAGTAGGTTTTGATGATCAATACTTCAGCTTCATAATTCTGGATTGTTATGGGTTCTGAGCCACCAACAAACAATATTGCCACAGGCTTCTATTGATATTCAAATGCAAATGGCTCCGTGGATCTCCAAAGGCAATATAATCCAAATATGGATGTCAGTGAGGGAGCTTGTCTAGCAAAGTATGCCTATTCAAAGTGACCACAAAACAGAGAGCTATAATAAAATAAATCTGTAAGACAGGAATTCAGACTGTTTTACAGGATGATAATTTATGCTGCTATCCACAAAAAGCTATGATGCTTGGTACAGAATACCTACAGCTACCCATGGCTACATTTTAGGTTAAGTTATCCTTTGGTATACAACCAACAAAGTACCTATAGTCCCTCAGGAGAAACGACATTTCTACATAGTCTGTTTGTATGAACTGCATTTCATCATTTTAATGGGATGTATGTCCAGAAGTAAAGGAATAACTGGGCTAATAACAGTAAGAAATGAGTATCAAGAGGTACATGTGGAATTCTGTTTTCTGGTATGTATGCTTGGAAACATATGCGTATGTGATGCTCACAGTGTAATGTCTTGTAATGTCATTTTCACATTACTAGGAGACTGCTAGTGGAAAAACAGCCGATCTACCTATAAGGATATTGTCAAGTAGTGGAACAATAAAAGCATGACTCAAGCAAAACCGGCTCAAGAAAATATATTCTGATCACAGTTAAGAGGTCTCTAAAATTAAATGGGTTATATATTTTCTCTAACCTCTCTTTTAACAGCTGCCAGTGAATTTGCTATTAGTTGCTAGTAATTTAAATTCAGGGATAGGATTATATCTAGTTTCTTTAAAGTGTTTTTTAATAGGTGGTTTGGTCTGTTAATGATCCAAACATGAAATCAACTCTTTTCTTAGAGTAATTACTGATTTCTCTGTCCTTATTTGATGTTAGTCACATAAGGTAAACCTTTTGAAAGTGCCTGATTGTCTACTTGTAGTCCACTGGTAAAAATATGCATAAAGTCCTATTACTTGTATTTGCTATACTTAACACCAGGAAATTAAATGCTCAGCTACTAAAGCTACCTCAGACACCTGTTGCAAATTAATATTATATAGCACTGTTATAGCTGCTTTTTTCTTCCTCCATGGCCACTGTGAATAGGCTTTCTACTGTGTGTCAGCTTCTTCTGCGAGCCTGAATTGAATTCAGGCATAATTAGAAATCACATCAAAACATTATGTTAATTTTCAATTGATTTTATGATTTAATTCTATTAAACTGCAGGCTTGCAAAGAAGCTACGAATCCTGTACATGTCTCAGTGTGCTTGACTGCTAAACAGCTTCTGGAAATGGAAGCTGCAACACATGCTGTAGCTAATTAAAAGACATGTTTTTACTGAAATCAAATTGCTTGTCAGTATGTCATATAAAAAGTCTATACTTGACACTCAAATGCCAAACAAAGTTGTTTTTTTAACTAGGTGATAAGTTTTGCAGACTAAAAGGCTGGTGCAATGAAAAGCATGAGTCACCCTATAATAATGGGAGAGTAAGAAAGAGAAGAAAACTTGTGATACTCTGTGGATAGTCAAGCCATGAAATCCCTGCCCAACTCACTCTTTCAGCTTTTCAGAAAGCAGCTCTGTTTCTCCTTTTACAGCAATGATTACTATTTTGAGGGGATAATTATTAAGGACAGATTTACTCAGGAGTAGACTGGGATGAGAAAGGCTGGATGTGATGGTTATGTGATAAAGAAATACCACCCTACTCTTGTTTCTCTCTTTCCACCTAGGAACAGCAAAGGACCCAAACCACCTACACAAGCTGGAGGCTGACACAGGATGCACTCTCCACGCACAGTTTTATAACTTCCATAAACAGAGACAGAGGATCTCATCCTAAATTAACTGTGAGAGGAGCTATTACTTTGGACTCGAAAAAATTATTATTCCAAAAAATTATTAATTCCTGTATTCCAACCTGTTTAACACAGAAGTACACTCTTTAATGAAGTATTCAAGCAATGTGTTGCCAAAGCCAAAAAAATCCATGCTGTGAAGAGAAATTTGTTTGTGGCAGTTATATGTGGTTAGAGCTTGATGTAATGTGAGCAGAATTCAATAGTCAATTCAATAGCAATGGAGGATCACAGGTATCAATTATACCACCACCTTATAAATGAGGGATTTCACTTCAGCCTTCCCTCTTGGTTTATACAGTGGATTAATATAAAGAATTCAGAAATCTAGGTATATAAATAGAAAACCCATACTTTTCTCAGAATAACTTCAAAATATTCTTAGCATGCAGATGCCTTCATCTACGTGAATTCTCTGCCTAAAGGTTGGACCAGATTAATCAATACACTACAGATCCTTTGTGCAATTCTTTTGATTAAAACTAATGCTAAACACAGTGTATGTCTGTCATAAGCACTTGTTATTATAGCATAACCCTATTATAACAATGGAGAAGTAAGGACATGGAGAGAAAAGATACTGAGGAGAGCATGGTATTCAGAGCACTCTTCAGAAAAGCTTGGGTAACTCACATTACCTTCAATAGAAACCAGGCATCAAGGAGCACACCAAGTCTAAGTGAACTGCAAACCAAAAGGTCTACAATGTACCAAGTATTAAAGAGCTAACATATCTCCTAAGCTCCAGATTGGTACAGCAAACACTGGACTATTTTTTATCTTTATCGGTTAAGCTCGAGTCATGATTCCTTCAGTTAGAGTGCTAAAGCCAAATGGCCAGACTGACCTATTGGTCAGCTCTCAGTTCCTTCTTTCTATTTTAGCTCAAGCACGTAAGCCTTAATAATTTCTATTACCTTGTGTTCGAACAGGATCTGACATAGGGCTGGGATCACTCAGACCTTGTGAATTGATAGCTCTCACCATAAACAGGTAGATTGTATTGGGGCGCAGTCCTCTCACAGTGTAGAGAGTGGTCTTCACGTGGTTAGCCACTGTTTGCCAACTATTGCTCACTGATTGACTGCAATAAGAAGAGGATTGAAGATTATAGACTAATGCAAGAGAAACATAAAGAAGTGAAAGGACCTACTTTTGTAACCCTATGCAGGATAGGATAAGTACAGGAAAAAGTAGCAAAAGCAGGGTAAAAATAAAAATATTTGTTTCAGTTAATTCATCAAGACGGGATAAAAAAAATAACACAGCTGTCAAAAGTATTTCTCCTTTCAACAGAAGCAAAAGCTTTTGCTATCTCTCTAAAATAAATACCTGTAAAAGGAACGTGTGGAAAGCTGTAGAGTAAATTTGCATGATAAATAGGCCACTCTTGAACATAAACCTTAGAAAAGAAAAACCTGTTAAAAGAATAATTTTCTATACTGCTAAGTAAATTATGTCAATAAATTGTCATTGGAAGAAAAGTACTCTCCTTGAACTAAATTCATACTCAAAGTTACAAAAGAAAGGTCTGACAACATGCTTGTAAATGAAGGAAAGAATATGAATATTTTTTCTGTCACCACATTTTCCATTGGACGTTATTATAATTAGATTACAATCCGCTGTATGAAGAGATTTTAAGTGTGATTGTTAAAACAGCTTTAAAATGAAAATGCCTGGCTTTTGTTAAAGTTATTGATGGGATGCCGTTAAAGCTTATCTAGGGTGAAATATCACGAAAGTTTAAAGAGAAAATTTGATTTTATTGTGCTTTGTTGTATAGCATAGATGAAAAAATTCTTTAAATATATTAAAAGGAAAAAGAAAATGGAAAGCTACGAGTTTCATGTTGTTTCAATTGTTTCATTCGTGTAATGCATAAAGGATAGTACAAGTTCCAGAACAAAACCAACAGTCTGCACATACAGTAACGGTCTTTGCATATTAACATAGCAGGATGAAGCATTACCACTGTAACTTCTGAAATTTGCATGCATATGATTTTGACAAATTCTTGCATGAATTTTAATTAAAAGAGTAACTAAATTATTTGCCATTTGTTGCACATCTTGCTTAAGGAAAACATTTAAGAATGCGCACATTTTTAAGCAGAAGCGTATATTACTGACACATGTGAGAGGTATGGCCCATGCT